TTCCTAAATACCCCCAATTTCAAAATCCCCCCTTTTCCCCTTCTTCTAAACAACCCTGACCCTACCCCCTTCTCTCATCTCTTCTCTGAAGCATCCAATCCCACCATCAATTGGCAGTGCCATCTTTCCTCTTCTCCTCCCCCCACATCCTCACGAGTTTCCCCTCAAGTAAGTGAGATGTTTTCCCCCTCTTAGTTTAGTCTATTTTCTTTTCTTTTCTTTTTCTTGAGTTGTAGCAAAGTTTTGTTAGTGCTTTCTTTCTAGTTATAATCGTTCTCTTATGAGGTGGTGGTTGAATTTCACCATTATGGGCTAGGTGTGACATTGGTGTATCTTTCGTCGAATTTGGGGCTAAAAATTATTGTGTGAGGGTTCGGTAGAATTGTGCATATCAGGTGTTCGTATAAATGCCACAAAGAGTTTGAGAGTGTAATTTTGTGACCAAGTGGGCTGGTGAAGTCTGAGTAACCGCTCTTGGTTCACCCATTGTGCCTTTAGCTGATATTTGGTGTTTGTTACATGTATTATGACGTCGTCCAAGAAACGAAGAACCACAAGTGCCTCCTCAAGCGCGCTGGCTCATCCGGGCTGTGAGTTTCTGCTAGTGCTCGCCCGTATGATAATAACAAGTTCGTCTCCAGTGTAGCCCAGGATTGCTTCAGTAATAAGGCACGCAAGAAGCCCATACCGGAGAGGGGAATTGATATGGGGTCCCTCCAAAATGACTGCCCTAATATGTATCGTGAATTGGTCTGGCGAGGGCTAGGGATATTTTTTGAAGAACCTGACGAAGCCAACTTAATGGTTGTTTGGGAGTTTTATGCGAACTGCCCGAAACATGTTAACCATGTCTACACAGTTCGAAAGAAGAGTGTCGACGCATCCACAGAGGCTGTTCGAAGGGCCTACCTTTCCAGTGTTTGGAAAAAATCCTGAAGCAGAAGACTACTATGACATGTATAGCAAAGAACCACCCGTGTGGTAATTGTTCTTTAGAAAAAATTTGTGTTCCCAACAAGGAGATAGCGTGGGTCACGTCGGGGCGAAAGTTTCATTTGGCATCGTTATCCTTTGAAGGGAAGTGTTAGAGCTACATTATAAATAACCGCATGCTGCCTTCCTCAAACACCACTGAGGTGAATGGTCCCCGGGCTACACTAATCTGGTGCTTTATCAATGGCCATGATTTTGATGTGGCTAAGGTTATTCATAGCGAGATGTTCGTTCGCTATCCTGTGTAGAGGTATGGGTTACTCTTTCCATCCTTAATCACTAGGTTATGTCGTGAGTCACGTGTGCCGGAAAATAAGGACATGGATGGGAATGTCAAAAAGGAACAAAAATTATGGGTTGATAAAGTAGTAATTGGGAAGGACCCTGTTGGGCTTGTGGAGGCACATATCGATGAGTCTGATGCACCCGGCGATGGTAATTAGGTACAAGCTGAGGATGTGGCTGCTTCCCCGCCGCACGAGCAGGTTGTATGGGGAACCTCAGCTGGCAGATGGGACACAAGAATGAGCGCCTTAGAGCAGGAGATGGCGGGGATGCGTACCTCTGTCATAGACTTGGGAGCTCGAGTGGATTCCCTTGCTACACAAAATACCTAGTCTGAGAGAAAGGTCATGGCATGGCTGCGTGCACTAGGCCGGGCTTGCATCTGGACCCCAGCACTGTCTCCGACACGGACTGACTCTTTCGGGGAAGTTTTCTTTACCTTGCATTTGTCATTGTGTGACATGGAGGCATTCCACCATTTAAAGTGTGGGGGTAGGGGATATGTTGTATGTATGTATGATTGTATATTAGTTTTAGTTTTCTTTTGTTAGTTGAGTAGTAGAAATAACAAAAATAATAAAAATAAAATAAAAAATAACATAAAATTTTAAATTTTCGACTTTTCCCGACGATGGATATCATTCGACGGGTTTCTTGAGAGATTAAAGTCGAAAGAAAAAGATAAAAAGATTTTTTTTTATTAGGTAGTGTATTAATTCCCCCTTGGTTTTTCTTTGTGTCGCGGTTCTTTTTCAAGATTTTTGTTTGAACCGGGTGTAGTTGGATTTTTGTTTTTATAAGGAGGAAAAGCTTGTGCTATGATTTGAAATGGAAGCAATATCTCTTGACTTGAACATGCCTTGAGAATAGTAAGTATTTTGTTTGTGACGCTTAGGCTCAATTTTTGACTCTTGTATAAGTGCCTTAAATGGTATAATCTTGACTTTGCTAAACTGCTTTGACTAGAGTGTCTTGATGATCCAATCTTGAGTGAGTCATGTGCCATGTGCGTATGAGGTTTGGTGTATTCTGTGCATTGAATTTGATGTCTAGAACTTGCCCTGTGTGTTTGCAAAGCGAAATAGTAGTTTTGTTCAGTCCTGGAAGTGATATAGGCATTTCTTTGTTGAGCCAGATATATAGTTTGCCCACCAAATTGTTATGTAATCGTAGTCAACCCCATTGAGCCTATAATCCTGTTCTTTGGCAATCACATTACAAGTATTACCCATTTATTTGAATTGTCCATCTATTTGAACCTTGTACCTCTCATGAGCACTTGAATTTGTTATGAACTCTGTAAAAGTTGAAGTGTGGGGTGGTTGGTTTGGCTTTTGAGTTGAACTAATGAAATAAGGAGAAAGGTGCACTGATTTGAAAAATCAAGAGCCACTTGAAATGAAAAAAATAAAAATAAAAAGACAAAAAAAATTAGTTATATTGTGTGCAGATATTCAGTGATAAGTGGTAACTCTTGATGTAATTGTACTTAAATAATTTGGGAGTTGATGTATATTGGTGTGAAGGTGGAGTTTTGGTTTGACATAAGTGTGGAGTTTTAATATTAAAGTTTATGTATTAAAGTGCTTAGGGAGGTGTAGTCACTCTTATTTCTAAATGTATCTTACCTATCCAACAACCTACATTACAACCATTTAAAGTCCTATTTGATCCTTGACTGAATGAGCTCGAATTAGTAGAGTAGTACACTACGGGCAAGCCTATGGTTCATCTTTTGTGGCATATGAATGTTAGTTCTGAGAGTGAGTGAATTTTTTCTATCATGAGTTCCTAATCGTTCTTAACTTTTATTGTGTATGGAACTACTCTTTTTTGTTGTGTGAGGGCACTTGATTCATGAAGGAAAGGCAACGTTATTGACCTCTATGTTAGAGAAAGTGAGCTAGTTATAGATAATGCGTGGTGCTGTTGAGTCAAACTTTGAGGTTAAGATGTCACAATATTGTGCTTAATCTATTTTAAAGAGTCTTGGTGTGATAAATCTTGAGTGTTGTTGAAAAAAGGCGTATTTAGAGGAAGTGTAATTGGATTGCTCGGGGATGAGCAATGGTTTAAGTGTGGGGTGTTGATGGTAGGCTATAATTGTGTATTTTGGTGGTGGGGCAAATATAGAAACAACAAGAGGAAGTATGGTGGGGGGAAAAGAGTAGCAAAGGGAAAGGGTGTGAGATGGCCCTAGGAAAGGGGCAGGATGGGGCAACCCCATTTCAATGGATAGAATTGGATTCTGGAATGCCAGGGGACTGAATAAACCACATAAACAAAAGGAAATGAACCTGTTTATGAAGAATCAAAGAGTGGGTTTATTTGGTCTCCTGGAAACAAAGATTAAGAGAGCTAAAGCACAACAAATTGCTCTTAATCTATGCAATGGGTGGTCCTTTACCACGAATTTAGCAAAACATCCAGGAGGAAGAATATGGGTTGTATGGAAACCATAAGTATATGATGTTAATATAACAATGGTAACTGAGCAATTAATACATTGCATGGTTCAGCATAGAGGGACAAGGATACAGTTTAATATCACAATAATATATGGCTTTAATAATCAGAGTTTGGGGAGGCAGCTATGGGAAGACATTA